TTTGTTGTAGTCAGGGTTTATAACAGAATATATTTAATACAGAGCACATAATTGATAGGATTGTTTTATAATATTCACCCAAAAAGTCAAATGCAGAAGCATGCAGGAGATTTGCCCATGCACTAGATACCTAAGAATCCAGCTGATGGCTAGATGTTATGACAGTGTCCTCCTGACCAAGTCCAGGTGAAGACCTAGAGCCCATGGCAATGTCTCATATCAAGCCTATATCGAGGTCTTACACTGGAAAGGCTGAAAGTTCAGTGGTGGAAGGTACAAATTCTGCAGCATTAGGATGAAGGATCTGTGCCAGCAGGCTGAGCTCCTGTACTAAAGCCACAAAGTGATGCTCAAGGTAAGGAACATACCTGCCCCTAAAAGAACCACAGCTATCCTCAGGAAGAGGATGAGAATAATTGAACTCACATCAGGAAAACCAGCCTGAAAAGCTTCTGCAGGAAAATCAACATACCATCTTTCCCTCCAGTTCTCCTTCCAATGCTGTTGGCAAAAATCCTCTGGTGGGCCTTTCACACCCAGAACCATGTTGAATTCAGTTCACCTGGGTGTTACAAATTGACTATTTTATGATTCAAAATTCCTATGACAGTGAAATGAGCAAGAAGGAACTGACACAGATACAGCGAATACATACCTCCTTGATTCAGATGATGAACAAGACAGCAATGTTTTGAGTAGTTGAAAAGTTGCAAAATGACCATACAACCAAATAGACCCATCCAATGTTTGAACTAGGTCCAAAAAATATAGTGAGTTTCTTTGCAGGGATGAAATACATTGGTCAGAATACTAGCAATACTACTCAGTATTGTCAATTATAACAGACAAAATGCTACAAATATTGTCAAATACACAAACACTGAAATGCAAGTAAAATGTTCTGTATACTTGCTAATACCCATATTCAAAAATGTATTTATTATGACATCTCTAACTGAACTGAAAACATTGAAAGGTCTGCTGCATTTAGCAGAGATTTTTCGTGGTGATCACAGGGATGTAAAAGATTAGTGGAAAGCAATGGGTCAAACTGCGGCTAAAAGTTTATGCCCTTCTAGATGCAAAGATTTATTACGTTTTAAATTTAGACATTCACCCTGCAACTCAGCCATTATGGCCTTTTCATACATGAACTGAATGGTGTTGTGAAATCACTTGTTAATCCTGTCTCCCATACTAATTGAAACCTGACATTTGACAATTGGTTTATCAGTTTCCAATTGATGTTACATTTGCTAACAGAGCACAAATTGACCAGCACAGCAACTGCACAAAGGAACAAAGAAGAAATTTTCAAATGAAATGTTGCAATTTTAAAGCAAAGAATCATATATTACAATCTTTGAATTTCAGAAAGATACAACATTGGTCTCCAATACGGCAAGGAAAAACAAAGTGGTACTGCTTATGTTAACATTTTACCACAAAGGAAATATTGATCAAGAAACCTTGAAACAAAAAGCTAAGATAAAAACTTTCGACAACAAAACTGAATGTGGAGTACATCCTGTTGAGTTATGTAGCAAGTATGATGTCACTTGAAACACAAACTGTTGGTCAATGGTTGTGTTTTACTCCATCCTAAACCTGTGTGGCACAAACAATTTGATGGCTTAAAAAGAGAATAACAAATGCAAAATATCATGGAGAAATTACTTGGAGGATGGGGACTAAAGTTCATAAGGAATCATTTACAGCAGAGGAAAAGCAAAATATTTTTGCCCAGGGAACTACACAAAAAGATTGTGGAGCACACTGGTAATCAGAGAGGTGAAGAGAGAGGTGCAGTGTCACAAAGAAGTAGAATTACAGCATGAAAACAAAAAAGATGTCAAATGTGCCCCATAGGAAAACAACACTTTCATCCTATCAGTGTGAGCATTTCTTGTACATGGAACATGCAATTGTTGCATTTAAAGACTGCCTTGGGTGTGAAGTTGATAGATGTTTGCTTGTGTTCACATTGTAGTTTATCTAGCTTTTCATCTTGGATGGTACCTTTTAGGTCTTGTAAGCAAGTAAACAGCTCACATGAAAATGACAATTCTCTTCTAAGCACTTATTGCATATTTGAAATAGTATTTTACTGATATCTTAATTACTAAGTGCATTTTGTAGAATATAGTATGAAGCTTCAGACAAAAAAGGATCACAAGCTGGGCGTGGTGGTGCAATCCTGTAATCCCAGCACTCAGAAATTTGAGGTAGGAGGAGCCTTGCAAATTCAAGAACAGCCTGGGCTACAAAGTGAGCCCAAGGCCAGCCTGAACCACATAGTGAGATCCTGTCTCAAAAAGACAAGAAAAAAAAATTACAAGGGAGATGACAAGATCTCCACATAGGAATGGCAAACTAAGCACATGTGTATTAGTTTAAGTGAGATATGTTCATGGAACATGCAGTTGTCATATGTGAAGACAGCCTTGGGTATGACAATTGAAGTGTGGCATATTTTTGTTTTAGAACTCTATTGATATTTTCATTGTAATTCACATAGGGATTTATTTCTCATGTTATCTTTTACGTTTCATAAGGAAGTACACTGATGATATGAAAATGTTGACTATTCTAACTGCACAATATATAAAGAATTTAATGATTTGTTTTTGATATTTTATGTTCTTATTAACCTCAGGCTATATAACATAATCAGAACCTCCTGACAAAGAAGCAAGACCACTGAGATGTCAAGTATGTCCTCGGAAAAGGCCAGGAATGCAAAACATATATGCTTTCAGCATAAACAATACATGTGTATGGACCATGCTGTTGTCTTGCGTACAGTATCATAGGAATGATAACTAAAGTAAAGGTTATTTTTGTAAAGTGCTTGTCTTGGTTATCATTCTCTCATTGCTGAGAGAAAATACCTGACACCCAAAATGAAGTAAGGAAAGGTTTATTTAGCTCACTATTTGTGGAGGTTTCAGTCTATTTTCAGCTGGATCTAAGTCATGGTGGTGTGGCTGAGGGGCACCTATTCATGAGGACAACAGGAACCAAAGGTGGCAAGAGAAAAAAGGGAAGAGACTGCCACCTTTCCTCCCTTGTATTGTATGCCAGCTACCAGTCCCTCTGTGGGTGCAGCACTCTACCAATTCCAGCGCTCCACAGCAAACCAATCACAAATGCTAGACTCAGCCTCTTTGGAAAGGCCTGACTCCTATAACGGCATGAGGCTTTGGGTAGACTACCAAACACAAATCATAAAACCATTATTGTTGTTTTTATTGTAATTCATATAAGACTTTATTTGTGTTGTTCCTTTTTTTGACTTTGTACACCTAAACCTATCAATGTTGAAAATCTGGATGCTAAAAAAAGTAAATATTCTATATTAAAAATTCAATACTTTATTTTATTTTTGTGATTTTTTCCATTAAGCATTCATTGTTTAATATAATATAAAATTCATAAAATTGAATTAATGATTTCATCAGTAGAATAAACATGGGTCTGAGAGTCACATTTCTCTGCCTTTATGAGATAATTAATATTAGTATTAGTATTGTGCTCTGGGGGTTGCAAAGTGATATTGAAGGATCTGAAGCCAGAGATGGCCTACGAAAAGCTATTTAATAGTTTTAAGGAAAAGTACTGACGGGCCAAAATAATTCCAAACTTGTTAGCTGTCACGTGTGTGAAGGTCATGTTTTCCTAGAATGGAGGAAAGAAGTCAAAAACCAAAGGGAGAAGTTAAGAGAATTTTATTGGAAATAAGGAAAAACTGGATTTCCAAGTGCAGTCCTTAGTGTGCTGGCACAGGCAATTTATACAGCAAGATCACAGTATAATTCAATATGAGTCAAACTACAATCAACCTTTAGGATTACAAGTACAGCTGCTTAGGTAATACTGATCAAAGCAGGGAACTGAATCATGTAGCAAGAATATATGGAAAGAACAAAGGCATTAGGGCTGGGGATTTAGCTCAGCGGCATAAGCGCCTGCCTTGCAAGCAGGCAGTTGTGAGTTCTACCCCTGGTACCGATAAAAATGAAAAAGACAAAAAAAAAAAAAAAGAACAAAGGCATTTTTTTGCCAGGTATGGTGGGACTTACCTGTACTCCTAGCAGGCAGAGGGTGAGGTAGAATGATTCCTATGAGTTCTAGACCAGCCTGGTTTGCCTAGGGAGTTCAAGGCCACCCCTTACTGCATAGCAAAATTATGTCTGGAAACACACACACACACACACACACACACACACACAAGACAAGGTAGAACAAATCAAACCAAATGAAAACAATTCCCTCCAAGAAGAAAACAAGCCAAGGAAGTTAGGCATTTGGGCCTATGAAAAGCTGTATCTACGTGTCACTCGTTTACATGTCTGATACCTATCTGCGTCTATTGGGGATGCAACGGGTCAGGCCTGGAGCATGGATGTTAATACCACCCTGAGCTAGCACTGCTGCATTTGCTTTCAGACCAAGGGAGCCTTGCACATTTCCTTGTGACCCGCACTTTGAGGCATTTGCCTTGGTCTCACCGTTTGGGATCTCAACCCCAAACACTTAGAAGGGATGAGACCTGGCTTTGCCTCTTTAGTTTGCCTTGTGCATGTGGTGCAAAGAAGCCACATATGGGAGACAGAGTTAAACTTGCCCAGGCACAACCAGCAAGGTCTCAGAATGTTTGGATCCAACAACCAGAGCCACTGGCACTGGTCTAGAGTCCCCAGCCTTAAGGAACTCATGCCCTCTGCTCTTGGTTTCACATGGTCAGCAGTAGGGTCCCACAAACAACCCTCTCTTCTAATCGGCCCTCTCCGTATTGAGATGCACTCATTCAACGGAGCTCGACTTCTCCAGAAGGCCGCCCCACCCTTCCCTCCTAATCCCTTCCAGGAAAGAGATCACGCGGCGAAGGAGGCTCTCAGACTGGGCAATCCTCTCAGCCTTGGGGTAACAGCCGCGCGACTAGGTATGAGAGTGGAAAGGGGGCCATGACAGGCAAGACGGCGGCCCAATGGATCGTCTGTGCCTTCTTGTGCGGGCCAATGAGGCGCGTGGGGCAGGACTTCCGCCTCGCCCTGGTGTTGTCTTCCCCGCTCAGACTGGGGCTGTGGGTTGGTGCGGATATTCAGTTATGAGCTCAAGCTAGGATCTTCTTCAGCAGCCACGAGGCCGGCGAGCCTGTGTCCCGGGGGTCAGCCCTCCAGGTAAGATTCTGTCAGGTTCTGCGGCTGCTGGGCGAGGGTCGTCCTCGGGGGCCTCGCTCGAGAACACTCCCCCCTCGCAGGCCCTGGAGTTTAGAGCGGGCCCCACAGCTGAGGTCCCTGCAGCTCCTCTCCAGCATGGAGCCGAGTGAATTAGGCTTTTTGCAAAAGAAGCAAAAATGCCTTGCCCCTGCAGAACCGAGTCTCCCCCGCATCTGCATTCCGTGCGTTTGGACGTGGCCAAAGTTGCCGGGTTATCTGTTTTGCTTCCCACATCCCCTTTTGAGGTGTCAGGAGCCTGGGGAGATGTTGGTCCAACACTGGCCTTAAAGCGCTCGGTTCAAGTCACTTGACTTTAATTGTGGGGCTTGTCTTGTCTTTGGGGTAAAAAAAACATGAGGAGTCACTTCCTTTCATTCTCACCCCACCCCTGTTTTCTTCCTCTCAGAGCTCAGCTTGCAGGCTAGGACGTGACCCAGCCGGGGCCAGAGATGAGGTCCCTGCCCTCCTAAAGTCACCACTTGTGCCAGGAGGCTAATTGGGCTGACCTGAATTGATAAAAGAGCTCTGTCCCAGAGAGGGAGTGGGCAGACACCAAGCCAAGAGATAGTGTTCCAGAAGCAATCAAGCAGCTTTGCGGGCAACCACTGTGTGCTCTCTGGCTGTTTTCGGTAATTTCTTCTAGTTCGTACTAATCTGGCTATAGAGCATTCCCCACATTTTAGTGTCAACCCTAATTTCAGCAACGTGAGCAGCTGCTGCAATCCTTTATTTTTGCCCCAAACCTGTCGGACTGCCAGTGATGCAGCGGGGCTCATAAAAACCAATGCGTTCTTTCAACCATGATGTGCAGTTTTTGATACAGTATAAATAAACAAACTGCCTTCAAGGAGTTCCAGGAGGGGAGCAAAGCAGTTCAAGATTTAAGGAAGGTCTTTCAAGGGTTTAATCTGTTTTACGGGCAGTTTTTAATGTCTTGAGTAGCTAGTTCTTTGTAAGGGTAACAACATTGTACTGAGATGGTTAGAAAGGAGTTAAGAACTGTGCTCTGCTGTATAGTGCTGGGCCCACAGGGACTCATAAATGGATTTTGGATTCAACTTAGTGTAATGGCCTAAACATATTACAAGAAAATAAACAAGAAAAACTTAGCAGAGGATGACTTGCGGAGTAAAAATAAATTTCATGGGGCTGTTGTTTTAGGTTTTTTAAAAAATGTGTATTAAAGCCTTATCATGTATTACACCAAAGACAAATGTTTCCAAATACTGGATCCCAAATTTGAGAGTCTGTGGTTCTCCAAGGAGCAACTGCACTTTTGATACAAGAAAAATAAGTGAAGTGTAATCTTATATGTAAACAAGGAAAAAGTAGTAGGGATTAGGTGAAATAAACTGTTCGTTACGTAATTAAGCATCAAAGTTTTTTGCTGTTGATTTTCAAGTGGTTGGATAAGAGCAATCATTTCTATGTTATGACTGCCAACTTCTCTGTCTCATTGTCAACTGACAATGTATATGTCAGGAATGATAACATAAATGTATGTAGTGTTTACTTTTCTCTTGTTTGAAGTTGAATAGCTTGATATCTTCATGTGTACTGTAAATTGTGTGGACACATTCTTGATTTGGAAGTTTAATAGTGAAGGGTTTGAGGTTAATTGTCATTTCAAGCATTTTGGGGAGCCCTAAATTGTTTTAATAAAGCATGATGGTTAATCAATATAAAAATTTAGGTGTTCTGTGGGTATTTATTGAATGTACTTAAAAATAAGCATGTTAAGCTTTGCACAGCTTTTACACTGCGTAAACATTGATAATAGCTAGTATTGTCAAGAGTCAAATATATTTCTAATTTATATTATCCCACATAATTCTCACAGTCATTGATGTGGTAAGTGATAAGGCATCTCACATACATAGCCTGCTGATTTTATACAGGTATTTAGTGGTGTAGTCAGGAGTCAAACCTAACACTTAAACTATATAAAGCCTGTGCCATATTTCACTTAAAAATACAAAGTACTGTTGGCTATTTTGTATTTTTTACTTGCTGGGTAACATTAATGACTTTGCTTTCTTGACTCTGGATAAACACCTCCTCAATGAACTTATTTTTCTCATAGTGTTTGGAGATTAAAATAATTTGTAGAGCACTAGATAGAATATGTTCAGTAAATGATATGCCTTAGCCTTGATCCTTTCATTGAGGAGTGGCAATTTGAAAGACTTAGCAAGTGGAAAGTGGAAGAATAAAGATGGTTCCACATAAGGACATTTGCTGAAGAAAAGATGTAGAAAGGTGAAGAAAACAAAGTACATTTGCCAAGGTTGTTTGTTTCAGGAATAGACATAAAGATAAATGGATACAGATTATGGTGATGTTTAAATGCCAGACAAAGTATTATGTATAAGACTTTTAATTGAGAAGAACCTCCTTTTATGAAGATTAATCTAGGAAAAACATGTTCAGTGGAGAAGTAGAAGCCTTTAGGTAGGAATTTGATGGAGTTTAGTTAAAACAGTTGAGACAGGACATGATGATTGTAAGGAAGGGTACAGATGACAGTGACACTGGGAACTAACGTGAGTATGAGTTTAAGACATTTTTGGGAGGATAGACGTGCAAATAACAGAAATATGGATACACAAAAGAGTTTGTAGAAGAAGGATTTAAGACATGAGAGGATGAAGGGAAATTAGTTTGGGAGTTGAGTTTTTCAGTTTTAGCAAGGTAAATTGAAAACTGGAAGCTCTGGGTATTCTGTCATAAGAGAAGAGATCATATACTCATCCTGAGGAAATTGCCCATAGTAGTTATGCCCCTGAAATTTCTCAAAACTGAAAATCCATTATTTAGTAAGGAGGCACCATTATTTTCCCCTGTAGCATGTTTTGTGTCCTAGGGAAATAGGATACCTGTGTGAGGGAACAGGGGATAGGTGTAGTGATAGTGGGGAGGGGAAATTTTGTAACCTACAAGGCTCCCATTTATTATTTCAAAAGAGAAATGGTAAACTGGAAGCTAGACCCATTTAAACTTAAGAAAACAAATTTTGTTGTTGTTGTTGTGCTAGGGAGCAAGCCAGAGGCCTTGCATGTGCTAGGCAGGTGTTGTACTAATGAGCTACATCCCTAGCCAAGCTACGAACTTTAATCACCAGTTACTTTGAAAGATGCTCTGATTTTTCTATACTGTCAGGCATTTGTAAACATATGTTGAATGTCGAATTGTTGTAATATGTCCAGATTTATTTTTATCTCCTGTTCATTACCCAGAATTGATTAATAGGAAAACTTAAAACCAGAGTATGAGATGGTTCTCTGAGTAACATTGTAGGGGTGCACACCAGGAATGAGTGTATTCTCGTTATAGCCAAGATTGGGATAAAAGGAGAAGATGCATGATACAGTGGGAAAAGTAGAGATTCTTTTGTAAAATGATAATAATGATAATAGCAATTTTGACAGTTGTTCTGAAAGTTGTAGTTAGTACATGAAAAATGCCAGCAAAGGGGTAGATAGTAATTGAGATGTTTTTATTACCATCATCTTAACAAATGAATATAAACATAGGACCCTAGCGCTTATGGTAAGAAAGAAAAAAAAAAAAAAAAAAACATCTAGATATCCTTTATACTTGAAAAAGGGCTCAGGACCAGGGAGAAGTGCCCATAGGTGTCTTGGCAGATTTTCTGGGGTTTTATGTAATTGGATAGAGCATGATAATAGATTAAGCAGTAAAATCTATCCATTTCTGAGTTATTTTTAGTTCTTTGTGATATTAAGCCCGAACAATAGGGCAGTTAAACAAATATTGTGTCACACATTCGCTGGACAAGGAAACATTTACATATTCTATAATATCATAATCAGAAACATTACTGGGAACCTACTATTTGTGTATTTCTATAACATTCTTTGTTTCTTTTTAAACTTTTATTTTGGTGTAATTTGAGGCTTCAGAAAAATGATGAGAGGAGTATGAAGTCCTATATATGGACTTCTAGATTTTCAGCCTGTTAATGTTGTGTCCCATTCGCTTATTTTATGCTGAAGTACTTAAAAGTAATTTGCAAGCATGATGCTGTTTATCTTTACCTTCCATGTGTGTCTCTTAAAACAAGGAAAAGCCTCATATTTAAGCACAGTGGAGTTACTAAAATCGGAGAGTAGCATCAGTGCAATTCTCCTACTTAATCTATGGACTGTGGCATTAATTCATTCAACAAATATTTATTAAGTGCCTTCCCTGTCAGGGCACTGTTCTAGGCACATATGGTACATAAGTGAACTAAAGAGACACTGGAGTTAATCTTCTAGAGAGACAAATGAAGCATATTTTCATTGTAGTAGTTAGGTATTCTTGTTTTATTATTTGGAAAGTCATACAAGGCAGTTAATAAGAGCAGATACCAGATTGCAAGTAATTGTGCAGACTTGGAAGAAAGGGACTGTATCTTATTCATATTTATCTCATCCTTTTCCCTTCCTCTCAGTGCAGTGACTTATTTTTGAGTACTGTTATTCATTATATGTTGAATGTGTATTGTTTTGATGTCGTCAGATTAATTTTTATGATTTCCTTTTTTGTCATCCCATATTGATTAACTGAAAAACTTTCAAAATCATTTGCTCAGCAACTGTAGGTGCACATTGAATGTTTATGAGGAGTAAGTTGTGTCACCACAAGAGCTAGATCTTAAAGGAATCTGTGCATTGCAGTAAGTGATTACTCAGTAAATAGAAACTAGGGAAAAAGTAAAAGGTACTGTGAATTGTACACTTGTAATTAGAATGGAAACGATGAAGTTGAAATGAAACTATGATGTTGGAATGGAAACAAGGTTACTATTGTATCTAAAGCACCAATATTAGGGAAGCTGGGTGCCATTCAACTTGTCTGTTACTAAACTGGGTGAGTTTGCAAAAGTAACTTCCTCTGTTAGTGTATTTCCTCATAAATCAGACTAGAATTTTCCAATGAAAAAAATCTGCTAAGGT